CTGTTGTATCCTGCAAAATTATCTTTCAAAATCAATGTGGAAATTAGATACTTCCACGACAAAGAACACCTGAGAAATTTCATGAACACCAAACCAACACTCCGAGCAATTCTAAACAATATCTTAGAAAAAAACAATGAAGGTCACAACTTCATATGGCCCAACAAAGGTAAGCCACCAGGCAAGGTAAGAAACTAAGGGGAAAGGTGGAAAAATAAGAAATAAAAGAGTCAACAAAAGTAAAACATCATGACAAGGATGAGTCAATATCTATCAATTATAACTATCAATGTTAATGGCCTCAATTCACCAATCAAAAGAAATACACTGGCAAAATGGATTAAGAAGCAAAATCCAACAATATGCTATATACAAGAAACACACCTAACTCAAAAATAAATTCATAGACTGAAAGTAAAAGGATGGAATACAGTTCTCCATGCCACAGGAACACAGAAAAAAGCAGGGGTAGCAATCTTATTTGCAGACAAAGTAGATTTCAAACCAAAACTAATTAAGAAAGACAAAGATGGTCACCACACCCTCGTGAAGGGAACAATCCAAGAGGATGAGATGACAATCATAAATATATATGCACCAAAAATGAATGCCCCCAACTATACAAAACAAATATTAATGCACATGAAAAACCAAATAAGCACTAATACAATTGTATTGGGGGACCTCAATACCCCACTATAACAAATAGACAGATCATGTAGACAAAAAATTAACAACGAAATTCTAGAACTGAACCAAGCTATTGAACAAATGGACTTAACAGATGTTTACAGAGAGTTCCACCCCACAAAATCAGAATATACATTCTTTTCAGCTGCACACAGGTCATTCTCCAAAATAGACCACATGCTAGCTCATAGGACACGTCTAAGTAAATGTAAAAGAATTGAAGTTAACCCCTGTATATTATCAAATGATAGTGCAATAAAATTGGAAGTCAATAACATAAAAAAATGCAAAACCCCCACAAACACATGGAAACTGAATAACACCCTCTTGAAAAACCAATGGGTCACAGAGGAAATTAAATAAGAAATTAGACAGTTTCTACAAGTAAATGACAATGCCAGTACAACATACAGGAATCTATGGGACACAAAGAAAGCAGTTCTACATGGGAAATTCATAGCAGTGAATGCCTATATTAGGAAAAGAGAGAGAACTCAAATAAATAACTTAATGTAGAACCTCAAGCTCCTAGAAAAAGAAGAGCATAGCAAACGCAAAGTTCGTACAAGAGAGGAAAGCATAAGATCAGAGCAGAAATCAATGCAATGGAGACAAAGAGAATGATGCAAAAAATTAAGGAACCAAAGAGTTGGTTTTTTGAAAGAATAAATAAAATAGATAAATCCTTAGCCAACCTTATCAAAAAAAGGAAAGAAAAGACTCAAATCTATGCAATTAAGAATGAAAAAGGTGAAGTCACAACAGATCCAACAGAAATCCAGAGGATCATTAATGCCTATTTCGAGAACCTGTACTCTAATAAAATGGAAAACACAGAAGAAATGGACAGATTCCTAGATATATACGAATTGCAAAGTTAAATGAAGAAGATACAGAAATTCTAAACACCCCATTACTATGAGTGAAATTAAAAATGTAATAAAAAATTTACCAACAAAGAAAAGCCCAGGTCCAGATGGCTTCACTGCTGAATTCTACAAGACATTTAAAGTAGAACTATCACCATTACTCTTTAAACTCATCCAGGAAATTGAAAGGGAAGCAAGGCTTTCAAATTCATTCCTGGAAGCAAGTGTTACTTTGATTCCAAAATCAGGGAAAGACCCAACCCAAAAAGAGAAGTACAGGCCAATCTCCCTAATGAAAATAGATGCAAAAATCCTCAACAAGATACTGGCAAACAGAATACAGAGTGTCATTGAGAAGATCATACACCCTGACCAAGTCAGATTTATCCCACGTTTGCAAGGATGGTTCAACATCCGTAAATCAATAAATGTAATACACTATATTAACAGAGTCAAGGACAAAAACCATATGTTCATCACAATGGATGCAGAAGAGGCATTTGACAAAATCTAACACCCATTTATGATAAAAGCCCTAGTGAAATTTAGAATAGAAGGCCTTTATCTCAACCTGATTAAGGCTATCTATGAAAAGCCAACAGCCAACATCATACTAAATGGTCAAAAACTGAAAACTTTCATGCTAAAATCA